AACACAAATAAAATAAATCTCTTCATATAAACAAACTAAGGCTTTGTCTGTGCTCTTTCCATTTAAAATTAGAGGCAACCACTGCATTTTAATCATGATCCAAACAAAGATACGTGCAACATGAGCAGTTTTTAATCTAAATTACATTGTATAATTACGAAATTTGAAGCAAAAACAGAATGGTTTGACTTCAGTTTTGTGAAACTATGCATAAAAAAAATGGTGCATGAAACCGAAACTGCAGACGAGCTGAATGAGATGCAGATTCACTCTCTGCCAGCAGGTGGCGCTTAAAGCGTTCCTTGGTTTCCGCTGTAAACAAAGCAGCGTTGCACTTGTGAACTTTAATGTGCATTATACAGAGGCAAGAGGAAAAGACAAAATACCGTCGAAAGACCGTAAGTTCCCCTCAGACATGCATTCATATTAACTCCTACCCCTAATTGAATTGCGATTTGTTTAGCATCTCAACCGATTTGAATCGTCACGTATTTAAATCGATTTTCAACCGGCTCGCGGTTAATCGTTACATCCCTAGTGAATTGCAGTTGTGTTTTTTAGGGATGCACGATATTGGATTTTTGCCGATATCCGAGTGCTGATATTTTTCCACTCATTTTAGCCGATACCGATATATTCCCATTTGTTTGGATACAACACCAAGTCTCTCCTGTGCAGTAATTATAAGCAAAATATTTTGAATTTTGGTTAGTTTTTAACAAGAACTTGTTAGAATTTAAAAAAAAATAATAATGTAGGTTTTTTGATAGTACCAGTGTTAATTTCATTGACGAATAATTTTCATCATGATGTTCGTCAATGACATTTTTTTTCACTGACGACAACGAGACGATAAAGAACTAAAACTCTTTTTAAATGACACAAACTATGACGAAAATATATTGACATTTTCGCCGACGAATAAAAATGAGACACATGTTGGGGAGGGACGATTTGGGAAGAGATTCATTCAATTTCAGAACGAATCTGCTGCATAGTTAGGAGGTTAGATGCGTACATATGAACCGGCGGGACATAAGCTGAAATACACTTGCTGCACGTCGCATAAAATGTCAATATGTGGGAGTAAGAGAATAGCAGACCTATAGATAAATCTGACGACGCAAGAGAGAACTAATTTCGGTCCAGTTTTCTGAGCGCAGACACTGAAGCATATACACACACAGAAACGTGTCTCACAGCGCGCGAGTAGGCCTACTCTTTCACGTCGCATGAACGGAGAATTACACAAATGGTGTCGAATTGTCCGTTTTGACGAGTATTCACGTAAGCACAGTTGATTATGTCTGAAGTGAATGTAAACAGCAGGGAGAACGTGAATCAGTACATTGCATCCATTGCAGCTGTGCATTCGGTTTTAAAGGGATAGCAGCCTATCCATTTAGTTGCTATTATCCGAGTCATTGATGTTAATCACGCAACGAAAGAAAGACAGAAAATCACTCACTGCTCTTGACTGAAAAACTTTAGTAGCCCTAAAGGTTAATCTAAATTTATTTACAGAAATGTGTCTGCTTGAAAGAATGAAGAATATGGTAAACAAGTTGCTATAAAGAATGCATAATTAGCCTATATAACCATTGGTGTTTCATTAAAAAGACCATGTTCTTGTTTATGGGAAGTGGTTTTATTTAATTTGAACAAAGGCATGTTGTGTGTCACCGCAGTTAAATCGGTGTCCATCATGATAAAACCTTAATATCAAACCTATATAATGAGTTTGGAAATTTGAGAAATGCTTAAACGCATTACACTGTAACTAAACCCATTAGATTTTAGCCGACTAAACTCACTGTAGATTTAACTAGAACTAGAGTCTAAAACTAGACTAAAACGAAAAACAATTCAGGTGACTAAAATATGACTAACTAAATGGCATTTTAGTCAAAAGACTGACTAAAACTAAATCAAAATTAACACTGGACAGTACATTGAATAATAAAAATAACTATAAATAAAACTATATATCAATCACTGCAACGTCTTTTTTTTCATGTAAGCTATAGCTTCTGACATTTAAATCAAAACATAAACAATTTTTTTTTATGGCATCAATTACTTTATTTAATCAGAAACAGTCTAAATGTTATTTGTGTTGACTATTTTACTTTTAATTTAATTAGAAGTAGGCCAACAGCGCCCCTACAGAATTAAAACTCTTTACACAACGGGCGTTAGGATCCGGGGTAGGCTGCCACTTCTGCCACTGCACTATTACGGTTTACTCTATCATACACCGAACGCGTCATTCTGTACGTGCTTTCTCAGTTTAAATGCAGCGATCCAAAAGAGTGAATCTAATGTTCATTCAGACAAAATTTTGCTTCAAGAATGAGCCACACTGCTAACGTGATCTAATCGCTAGCACACCCTGAGCACATGTGAATTAACACATTCCTCCTATCGGCAAGACATTTGCATAATTTTTCATATAGGGCCGATATTTACATTTAAAGCCATTATTGGCCGGTTCCGATATCAGTCCGATAATATCGTGCATCCCTAGTGTTTTTGCATTTTGTCTTTTTTCATTTTTGGGTGGAAAGTCTGAAAATGAACAAATTTGAGCATAGAACTTTTTATGCACACAATCATCTGATAAATTGGATGTTGCTTTAAATCAGGAGTGTCCGTTCAGAAGAGAAGCGCAGCGGCAGTGGATCTCGCAACTGGGGCTCAATGAGAGACCATATGAGGTGACGTTTCACTTTTTATATTATGTCAGATTGGAATTATTTTCTCCCTTTGCTCCCCCCCCCCCATCATAAAATGGTTGTCATTTTCCTTCTGTCCTGTAGTGAAATTGAAGAGGGGTCACCTAGTGAAGAGGTCGTTGAAAATGAGGAGACCCAAGAGGCAGTTGAGACTGATGGAGAAAACAGGTCTGTTTCTCACAGCTGCAGGAAATATCTTGTAACGCAGATGATGCTTGACAGTGAATATGGTTATTTGATGACTATGAATTTGAGCTTCCTTTTATAGATCATAATGGATGTAAATGTACAATTGCTCCTCTTTCAGACCATCTGAGACCGAGGAAGTGATTGAGCTTGCCCTAGAGATGACACTGGATGAGTGGAAAGCCCAACAGGAGCAAAGCAGGCCTAAGGTGGAGTTGAATATACGTAAGGCAGACACCTCTGTGCTGTCCAAGGCCGTGGTCATCCATAAGTCCAAATTCCTTCAGGTGAGGAGTCTCATTCTTAGCACTTAGAGCCTGTTGGATACAAATTCACTCTTATAACTGCTGTTCTTGTTCTAGAAACATCATAATGGCTTGGATGAAGAGGATGTGGTTTTCCGCCGCCCGGCCAATGACATCACTTGTCAACTGGAGATCAACTTTGGCAGCCTGGCTCGGCCCTCTCGTGGTGGGAGAGGAGGACGAGGTGGTCGTGGCCGTGGGGCTCCATCCATGCCATCCCAAAGATCTCCACAAAAACTTGAATCTGTAAGTTAGTTGTATTGGTTGCATCATAAATTGCTCATGCCCAGACAACACAGTGTTGTGAAATGCAAGCGTTTTAGTTCAAGGCACTTTACAAGCCAGATGGGTGTTCATGCTGCGTGAGAAACTGTGCCTGTGGTGGGTTGAGGCTAAATCATGTTTTGGCGTTTCCTAAGGCTCCAAACCCAGATGATCCAGAAGATTTCCCTGCACTGGCCTAGAGCTCCTCTGGAGGTATAGAGTGCGGATCAAACTGTTCTGCAACCCATGTTGGTAGCTCTGAAATGGGCAATGTGCACTTAAAATGAACAAAAATAAAGCATGCATAAAGTTGGTTCTTTGCCGTTACTGCAGTTGTCATTGTGTATAGTTCTGTAATTTTTGCACTTGTTTGGGTTTACTATTTTAAGAGGATGGAGCAATAGTTCGTTCTAAAATAAAGCATGCTGTTAAAGGCATATTGATGCTGAGTGAATACTTTGCCTAAATACGTTAAGGATATTAAAATGTAGACTTGCATTTCTGCAATTGCTTGATTAGCCAGAAGATTTACGGGGTGTTAAGCAAGGTGACTTTGAACTGAAATGTAATATGAATTAAACTCTGGGCTGGTTTTATCTCAATTTTATCTTTTTCTTTATCTTTATGGTTTTATCTTAATCTATTTGCATAGATTTGATGCAATAAAAAAAAATGTATGCGTGCAATGTTCTTCAAAAGTTAGGGGTCTGCAAACATCTCACTTTGCAAAGGACACATTAATGCTGTTCTTTTGAACATTTTATCCTAGAATCCTGATGGTATCAGTTTCCACAAAGCAAATCGTAATTTCTTTCTTGTGAAGCAAATCGTAAAATGAAGGATTGTGTGACTGAAGTGATGGCTGCTGGAAATTTAACTTTGCCATTATGGAAATAAATTATATTAAATAAACTTGCATTAAGATATATTAAAATCAATTACACAACTGTGTTGTTTTTACCATATTGAGCAAATAAATGCAGCCTTGGTGAGCAAAATATTAAAGATCTTCCAGACCCCAAACTTCTGAATGGTATGTGTGTTTCTACATATATGAACATGATGGTTAAGAGATTACAGTAGTTATTTTGAATACAGTAGTTATTGAATAAAGGACATAAATGGAAATATTTTAAACCGTTAATTCTTCACTGTAGTCTAACCATTTGATCTCAGTATATTTTTAGTGCAGTGCTTCGCTCCACCACCAGGAGGTGTAATACCGCAGAGAATAATTGAAATCTGACTCTTGTGCTCCTGCTGCCGGTAGGATGTCCATTGTACTTCTACACTATTTCCCTTGTACAGTGGTGAGTCTTGAAGTAAAACAGGATCATTGATCCTATACTCTCTACCGCTGTTTGAAAAATGTTACTTTTTAAAAAAAGTTCTGATGTCCGGAAAAACTACTGCTTGTTTTATTTTTTGCGGGTAGACATGTTTCCTTGAAGCTCACAGTGCTTTGGCTGGTGATGGAATGTCACACTGCTAGTCATACAGTGAAGGGAAATTAAATTTACAATGGACTGTTTCCTCCAGCTCACCATGTATCACTATAGATTTTGGCAGTTCGCTAGACAATACTGCCAATCTTGCTGAAAAGAACTGCAGAGCTCTGTCCTGCAAGCCTGACAGCAGTGAACTCTGGAATCAGATTCCTCAATGAGGAAATGGTCAGTAGTGAGAGAACCTTACATCTGCTGAAATCAGTTTTTTTTCTTTTTCTTTTTTTTTTACAGCTCCACTGTCCCTCCTGATTGCTCTGAAACTCTTATCTTTGAGCTATAAGAGTCTTGTCTTAGTGTAGTCATATGATACACCCCGTTTTAGTCTTTGAAGAGAGCCTAGTGTTTTTTTTAGAGGGATTGGGCCAGATTCCCGTGGCTGCGTTAACACTGAGGTGATTGTAAATGTTAGGCTTAAGTGTTCTTTCTGCATTCTCAGAGCTGTTTTTTTTCTGTGGGTAGTGTTGAGCTGGTGAAACACACAGGCATGAGCTCATTGTAGCTGACAGAGTGAATCCAGATGGATAAAGCAGTGATACTAGAAGGATGCGTGTTCACACTATTTTCTGTACCCAAGTCCAGAGTTTTCTTTGTCTTGGCATCTTATGTTTTCCCATCAGCCCTTTCCCTCTGTATTTAAGGGCTATTGGGGAGATTGTGAACTGTGTGTGACTATAATTAACTGTCAGCTGTTTTAAATTAATATAGATCCATTGGGGCGTAGAAACAAATGGTGATTGATCGTTGGCCCCGGAACCCAAAGAGTGATTGATTCAGTGTGGTGTGGAATTTAGTATAACCTCAAAAAAGCATTTGTACATTTGTCGTTTATTTTTCCTGAACAAATGTTAGGCTAAATCTTAAACAAGTGAGATCTTGTTTTTCTTCAGATTATTGCATCGCGTTGACGAAGCCTTTTGTTTAGCGTTGCTGCAGTTGCAGTGGAGCGGTTGGTCCTATAAGCAACATGAGATGATCTGAACTGAGCTGACATTAAAAGTCTTGGACTTGCTTGTATTTCATCTGTGTTGGATTTGTTCATGTTATCCTCATGGGACCCAGAAAAAAAACATTTGGAATTTAAAGTGTTTTTTTTCTCATGACATTTATAGTGTTTGGAGAAATATATGACCGTTTCAAAAATTCTCTGCATGTGGAGAATTCAGGACATTGGTACTAAAAAAATAAGGGTAAGAGACTAATGACAAAAATTAAAACCAAATTGGTTTTGTACTCCTTTTCTTTACAGCCCTCTCGACTGATTATATATAGTTGAAAGATGTTTATATTTCATATTTATGTATGCACACTAGTGTATGTATTAATTAGCTGTGTTTAATCTAAATGAGTGTTTTTCATCACTTTGGCACAGAAATTTAAACTTCTACTAAACATTTGCACATAGTTTCTCAACTATGTTATGAAAGATATTACAGAATGATTTAATATAACATTTACATCCTGATTACTTGCACCGTTTTGTAAACATGGACAAAAATAGATGTTTCCAGGTCTACATTTTTTATTATTCTGTTCTACTAATATAGTGTCATGGACATTGCATGGATATTTCTCATATTTATTTGTTATTGCTATACTGTTTGGGGTGTGTGTGTGTGTGTGCGCACAGGGCTCGCAAAATTTCAAAATCCCTGGTAGCCCTTCGGGCAGGTACTCTTCAGATTTTGGTAGCCCGAAAATTGGGATAATTCAAGCATATAAATTGTCAATTTAAAACGTATAAATATGACAGTATCTTAATTGTTTAGATTTTTAGAAGGCACATTAACTTCTTTCTCATTTACAAGTCTGTGTTTGCTGCGTAAAAACATGAGTTGATATTTGCATTGATCTGACCATAAAACCGCAAGAAAGGCTTGTTGGAAATGCAAATTCATTCTCTGCCACGAGGTGGCGCTTAAGGAGCGCTGAAATAATGCTGTTTCCCCGGTAACGGCTGTACACAAAGCAGCTCCCTCCACGACACCTTTCTGAGGACAGTCGGTTCACTTCAGATACATTCAAATAAAGACATCAGAGCCTAGTTTTGACTTGAAACATGCAGCTCATATTTATTCAAAGATATCATTGCCTTTTGAAGTTTAATCCAGCCGTATCTCGACTCTTGTCTTTCCGTCCCCAACTGTAAGACCTCTTGAAATTATAATTAAGACATTTCTTATACCATTTAACGTATTTAAAACTTTTTATGGCCGTAAGTTTGATACTCACTTTAGGAGTTTTTAAGGACCCGCGGGAGATCTGCATTTAAGATAGCCCATCGGGCAGGGCAGTGATACATTTTGGTAGCCCGATTTGAAAACACAATAGCCCCGGGACGTCGGGCTAGCGATTTTGTGAGCCCTGGTGTGTGTGTGTGTGTGTATATATATATATATATATGCATACATACATAAAATACCTTTAGTGTGTCTTGATGTTCCGTTTAGAGAAGATAGAAAATAAATACTTATTGTATTCCAGAGATGTCTATTACAAGAAACTATTCAAAAGCCAGTCAAATTCATATAACAATGATATAAATAATAGTGGTTTTCCACCTCCAGTTAATAGGCAATCTCTCTCTCTCTCTCTCTAATCAATTTTCTCATTCAATATATGCAGAATATATGTACACATTGTATATAATGTATGTGTATATACACATTGAAGGAAAAAAAGTTTAAATTTTACATTTAGTTTTTATTTTAACTTTTTATTATTGTTATTAATGTTCCTTATGTTAATTCATCCATACCGATCTCTCTCTAGCTCATTACAATTCATGTGCTCCCTTGGGTCCTGCACTGTGACTGGACAGCTGCACTAGAGCCTAAATTCCCTCTCACTCCTTTTTTTGTGGTGTCTCAAGGTTGTGCTCCATGGTAAATAGGTGTGGAGTTCAAAGAGTCAAATCCAACATATTGATTAGGGCTTTAAGGCTAGAGCTTTTAGCAACCTTGAATCCTGAAGAGCATGCACTGCAGAGACTTGTCAAGTAGGGAAACAGAGTATACATGCTACTTTTGAGACTCAATTTCATTCATCTCGCACAAAGAAATTCTACTTCACAGAACAATTGTTTACTACGAGGCAAACTGCACAAACTCTATTGTTGACTCGGTTTACTCTGAATTGATTATGCATACTGCAATATGCATATATTTGTACTATTTTTATACACATTTGATGTGTGTTTTCAAACAGGCCAGTCATATCAAAGTCTTAACCCATATCTATTAATAATAAGCAGCTAATCAATCAGGGCTTTAGAGACACGGGCTGCTTTTGCCCTGCAGGGAAAGAGGGGGCCAATCAGCAGTACCCATGCTCATTATTAATTCAGTAGCTATGGGAGCTCTTGGCTCTCTATCCCACTGAGTTTAGAGCTCTGTGTCAGCACAAAGTGCATCCATCACAATTTGGCCTTCTTGGTATTGATTTGGTTTACTATGTTAAAGGGGTCATATGATGCTTTTTTAAAGATCATTATTTTGTGTATTTGGTGTAACAGAATATGCTGACATGCTTTAATGTTCAAAAAACACATTATTTTTCAAATACTGTACATACTGTACAGTCCTATATACCCCCCGCC